AGTCGTGGGACCGCTTTAGGACTATTGGCCAGAGCCCACCCCTTCACGTACATCCACTTTTTTACGTGATTGATGTTAAGCTTATGAGCAATTTGCTCCTGGATGTAACTTGGACCACTGGACAGAAACCTGACGTTATTTCGAAAAAAAAGAGTTAATTGGGTGTGAAGAACCGTGGTAGGTGCAAGCCTTGACAAGATGATGCTTTAAGAAACCCTCATAACACTCCGTTCACATAAATCTCATCAGATTTTGAAGGCGAATTGAGATCAGCGCCGGAAGATGCACCCGATGGTGTGGGCGTCGCCACAAACCGCTACCTAACTTGAGGAGCTTCCGTAGTAAGCCTTAGGATTGCGCCCAGAGTTCTCTTTCGGGGACCCCCCGAATAAAATACATGTTGTCAAAGGAATTCGTTATCGCCATTAATATAGAAATCATTGTTTTCAGTATCAACGGAGACTGGAGGAGACGTCGAAACGAATTACAGATGATATGAGTGCCGATATCGCCCGTGCACGGAAGGAGGTAGTGTTTTATATAAATTACTTCATGTAGAAAAGCTTGAATAGCAGTTTGGGGTACGAAATAGCTGACGCTTCAAACCATTTATCCAGCCAGCTCTTTCATACTCAGAGCAGCTATTCAAGATTTCTGGTTCGCTACCCGGTCAAAGACAAATTGTGCACTGGTCTCATAAAGCGGCCCTTTACATGTGCGAGGTGAATGGGTTTGCAGATGCAGTCGCCCCTTTTCCTTCGCTCGAAAATGCGAGGGAATAAAGCTGGACGGTAGTGGTATCCGAATGCCGTTCCTAAACTCCACTCGCGCTATCCTCAGGGTGCTGCGCTTTAAGCCATTGAGGTCCCGCAGCGAAACACGCATTCTGCGGCAGAGAACAACCGCTGGTGTGGGGGCACAGAAAAGTAGCATGTCTGGCTGCCATATGCGTGCCCGTTCCTGGGCAATTCTGGTCGATCTCCTCACACATCCCCTACACATGGCAAGGA